CGTTAGCCTTTTGTCATTCGCTCTGACCAAGGGCTAACGCTCGAAACGTCAGCTTTTTAAATCTTTACGGTGGCCAATTTACAATTTCAACTTATAATTAGTTGATATAACCAAATTACCCGGTCAGACAAACAGAGAGACAGACTGAGACAAACAGATAGACAGAAACAGGCAATGAGTAACGTGGGTACGTTTCTAAAGAAATTGGGGTGCTACGTTCGTGAAGGGTATTACAAGATAACTTTGTCTTATCAACTGAGTTAATGATGTAAATTGGCCACCGTAAAGAGTTTAAAGGGCTGACGTTTTGAGCGTTTGCATCTCCTCAGGGCTAAAGGAAACGACACAAACAGACCGTCAGACAGACTGAGTCAGAAAGGACACAGTTATTCAGACAGACACCAGACGTACCTTGTCCTGCTCTGCACGACTGAACGCCTCACGCTTGACTCTGTCAATTTCCACGTTCGCATTTTCTAAGTCGTTCTGTGTTTTGTTGAGTCTTTCCAACATGGTTCCTTTCTCATTATGTGCTGCGTGCAACGCTTCCTGTTTTTCATTCTCAGCCATAAGCAGTTGATCGTCGCGTTCCTTTTGGACTATGGCCACCTCATTCACGAGTATCGCCTTCTCCCGTTCGAGTCTAAAATGAAAGGTGACGCAGTTAGCAAATCAACTCAATCCCAATTTGTTACAAAATTTTGTTCCATATTCAAACCGTTATTAAGCAAGTTAGGAGGCCCATAACTAGCGTTTCTCATCATCAGTCTCTGTGGTGTTGAACGTTTAAGAATGCCTTCTTCCCCTAGGATAGGATATTTGTTAATTACAAATACCCCCCCTCTCGACATTACATCAAGCTTCCCTGACAGTTGTAATTGGGTTAGAGAAGGGCTCTGTTAGAGTAACAATTTTTGTCCCCAAAGACAATACGACTAGGCCTCAAACCAGGCCTGCTCGATCCGAAGTCCAGCACTAACCACTACGCCATTACTAACCATTATTAAAACATAATGTAATAAAATACAGATTAATGAAGATAAAGCAAACAAAGATCAGCAAACAACTTTGCTACAATTTTGAATTGAGGATGTTCAAGATGATGCTGCCTTTACTACCCCGTCATAAGAAACAAACCTTTGTCCAAGCTCTTCCTTCTCACCCTTGAGCTGTGAGATCGCTTCCTCCTTCTCCTGATTGGCTTGAATCAAAGTACTTTCCTTTTCTCGCTTGAGTTTCTCCACCTCCTCCTCGTGCTTCTGTTCCATCCTCTTCAGCGCCACCTCTCCATCACGCTGAGTCTGACCCAGTCTCTGCTCCACCAACTCCTTATCTTTCAACAATTTCGCCTCTTCGATCTCCTTTTCTTTACGCACGCGCTGTAGATCGACCGTCAGAGCTTCTTTTGATAACAGCAACTCTTGATTCTCTGCCTCCAAAGCTTCTTTACGCGCTTCCAGTTTGGTAGCTGTTTGTTGAAGGTCGTACAAAGCTGTTTCCAGTGATTCTTTCTCGCTCTTCAAACTTGCAATATTCTCGGCCAGACCGCGATTCTCCCGCTCGGACGAGTTGACCTGCACAACCAGACTGGATTTCTCTCGGGTCAGCTCCTCCTTCTCTTTCGCCAAACGTACCACATTGGAGCTTTGTCTTTCCACATCGCGTCGAGTCGTCATCAACTCTTCGTATATGGAGTCTCGTTCCCTGGTAATCTGGCTTAAAGCTTCACCAAGTTCAGCTTTCTCGCGGTTGGCAAGAATCAATTCAGATTCCAGTTTTTCTCGGCTGGCTTCATGGATGCTGAGGTTATGGTCCAGCGATGACTTCTCTGTGTCTAGGTCAACCTAAGTTGTGAAAACAAAAGTTTGAAATGAAAACCCTTCACTCAAAGCCAATTTTGAGTCTACAAAACAGAACCTAATAAAGAGCGAATAGGAAAAAATTATGTGATGACGTAGTATTGAGCAGTTTTCAATTGAGTAATCCCAACAACCAATCAGTACAAAGGTTGACATCATTACTGACCAATGAGAACTTAAAATAGAAACGGGCGACCTGCATAAAGCGCGGGAAAACGCGCATGACCAAGGTGGGAAAGGTTTTTGTTTTACATTTGATTGGCGTAAGTAAGACCAATCACAGAGCGAAGTAAAACAAAACCAAAGCAATCCCGGATTATTTTGGACATTTGATTGACGATGTCTCTGAGAAGGGGTAGATAGAAAATACAAATGCAGCGCGGAAAGCATAACACAAAATCAAACAATGACTTGCCCTTCACCTTCTCTTGTTCAACACGGATCAGTTCCTGCCTGATACTGTTTTTCTCTTGTTCCAAATCTCTCTTGTCTTGGCTCAGGGAAGACTTCTCAGATTCCATTTGTTTAATAATCTTGTTCAGTTCAATCTTGTCCTGTCCGAGTCCTTCATTCAGTGACTGTAGTTTGACGAGCGCGTCGCGCAGAGCTATCTCCTCTGACTTCATCTTGTTGATCTCCAACTCCAGCTCAGCTCTTTGAAGTTCAGACTTGGAAAGCGTCTCTGCGACGTGGGACTTCTCTTGTTCCATCACTTCTTTATCCAACATGGCGCGAGACAACTGTTCCTTGAGGGTAACGATATCTTCTTTCAGCGACGATTGTTTGGTTTCAAGTTGTTCGATGACTTGTGTCATGCGCTGTACTTCCTTTCCGAGTCGTTCCCTCTCTCGGTCCAAGTCTTCCTTGTCGTCCTCCAAGTTATCCCTTTGTCTTTGAAGCTCACTATTCGCTGCTTGAAGTTTTTCAATCTCTGCTGCCATGTTCTCTAGTTGCTCGTTCATAGAATGACGCATCTTTTCCAAGTTTTGCTTCTCTGTGGCTAAAACATCAGAATGTGACTTGAAGCGTTCACGGTCCTGACTTGCTTCAGAGACTTTTTGGCGACTGTAAACGAGCAAAAAAGGGACGACATGGTTTTAAACCAAGGATCACAAAAGAAATCGAAGACCATGTAGGTACATGTGCATAAAATTCAGGTTTCAGCCGGTGGTGCAGCCACTTAAGACTAACAGAAAGACTTGGTAAATAAATTAATTTAATAAAAAAATAATCTCTGCAAAAATCTGCATCATGTCAAAGGAGCAAACTTCCTTTAAGTAGAGTTTCGCCCTTAAGGCACCTTTTCCTGGCACAGCATCGACAGCCGCTAGTGGAAAAAGTCACTGAAATCCCTGGGAGATCCTCGACTCATCGCCCGAAATGCCTCGCGTCAAGAGGTCTACATGACTCAAAGTCCAAAAATTTCTGAAAATTTCCCATCGCAGCACCGAAAGTAAACACACAAGAGCGCCAGTCGCAAAATGTCCCCTGTGATAGGTAAAGCTTTCTATCTAAAAGAAAAGTGTCTCTTCTTACGTGGAATCAAGTTCATCTCGTGCACTTAACAGAGCTTTCTCCAGCCTTCGTCTTTCATTCTCTGTATCATCAAGTTGTTTCTTGGTTTTCTTTTCAGAATCACGGGCTGCTTCCACTTTGCTTTTCATTTCCTTCGTTTGATAAAAAGTGAAAAGAAAGACAAGTTAAATAAAAAAAATGATGCCAAAAGGAAAAAAAAAGATTCCTAGCAGATCCAAATCATTTAGGGGCAGAAATTTAACAGGATTCGACAGAAAAAAACAATTTCTTACCATGACTTGAATATTCTTCTTCTGAATTGCCGAATGAACTTGAGCCAGCGCGTTATCTGACACGGCGGGTGACCTGGAACGAGTGGGTGACGAAGAGCGTAGACGTGCAGCACGTGACGGTGAAATGGGTCTCTTGCTCATGAAATCATCTTCAGCCCCCTCTAATAAACCTACATCAACAACTTCAATTATATCTTGTCCAGGCGAGCCTACGAGTTTAGAAGTATTGTCAGCGTCCTGTTTTACAGCATGCGTGATTTCACGGAGAGTGCTATGTAACATTTCAGCTTCCTCTCGCATGGCAGCGAGGCTAGCCTCACTTTGGTTCTCCCATTCTTCCGACTGTCTAGCAAAGCCATTTTCCTGAAAATGATAACAATAAAGTTCAATCTATCAAACAATCTTTTTATTTGTCCACATCAAGAATGTCCACCTTATATGCACTACTCACTAAGCCATTGATTTTCTTCTTCAAAGTTAGAATGGTCTCTTCCTTATCTTGTATTTGGCCTTCAAGCTTTTCCTTTGCATTGGTCAAATCTTTCACCCTTGAAAATAAAGGAAAGGTTTAGCATTATATCTTCTTGGCCTCTTCTGGACGAAACAACATAAAAGATTTATTTCTGGCAGTCGAGGTTTTGTAAGTATAACGAGTTACTCACTTGACCATAAGATCAGTTCTTTCATTGTCATATTTGTTTTGAAGCTCAATAAACTCCTGAACTTTCTCGCGCAGTTGCTCCTCGGCCTGTGGAAAAAAAAAAAAAATGAACAAGTAATGTAAAAAACACCTCCATAACAAAGTTGGACAGACGTGAATCTAGATGTGCTCTCCCACCACGAAGCAAATACATTCCCTCACAGTATACTATTTAGCCGTGCCTGTTGAGAGCAGCCATATATACCTTCTGACGCCATACTCTCTCTTCCTCCAGAGCAGACTGGGTGTTGGCATCCATTCCTCGCAGATTTTTGTCTAAGTCCATGCAGGCTCCTTGCACCACACGTACAGACTTGGTGACTTCTGCACGTACACTGGACAGGTCCCTGGAAGAATAAGCATTCTATTTCAGTATTGAAGAGCCTTTCATTATTTGTTTGTTTCTTTCTTTGTATGTAATTATGTTCCTTTATTTGTTTGTTTAATTTTTTTTTTCCTCAAATAACTGCTGAGGCAATTGTTTAAAATTCGGGCTATTAGGAAACCATTTACCAGTGTACTGATTAAATAGCTGAAGCTTAAAAAGTTATAGACAAAGCAGCAATAAAGACAGCTTTTCTTTTTATCTCTTCTATTTAAGAGAGTAAGATAGGAAGGGGGGAGGAGTGCTTGTTTTGGTCTAGGGTGTGAGCACTTATATGGGGGGGGAGGGGGTGCCTATTTGAGAATGGGCTCTGAATCAAGGAAATATGGTGATACATCTCATTTACACAAACCTTTGTGTTGCAGATTTCATTTCATTAAACTGTCGCCTAAAGTTGTTCATCGTCTTCCACATGTCCATCAAACGCACATGCTCATTAGCAAAGTAAGCCTGTTCCTCTTCATCCCGAGCCTCAAGCTCTTCACGTGCTTTGTTCCAATCAGCTGTAAGCTTTTGAACGTCAAGTGTTAGCTGTTCATTGGCTGAAGTCGCTTGATCCAATTGTTCCCGAAGCATGTTGTTGACATGTTGCAAGCTGGCACTCCTGCAATGGTCAAGACAAAAAAGGGTTTTGATGACATTAATTCTTAGAACACAGTCTATCCAGCCAGAGCTTATGCTGGTTTCCATAGCATGAACTGACTAGTGGAGTATAAATAATCTCCCAGATGTGATTTCAGTCCATTGCAAAGTTAATCAATAGACTCCTGGGCTGGTGGATTGAGGCACTGTGGAAGTAAAGAGTTTTGCTGAAAAACACAACTCAATGAGCTGGCCCGGTCCTCTTAATCTTGAGTCCAGTGTACCAAACTATTAGGCTACCAAGTCCCAGTCCCACACTTTGATTGTAATAATCAATAAATCAGCAAGTGTGTCATAAATAATAATGCATGAAACCAGGCTTCAACGCTAATTTTTCAATTTACTAGCCAAGTGGCTAGTGACATCTTAGATGTTTTTAGATGTTACGACAATTTCAGTCTGTTTACTAGCCAAACTGGCTAGTGGAAATTGAAAACCACTAGCCAAAACTGAATTTCTACTAGTCTGTGGCTAGTGGGCAACCATTAGTGTGGAGCCCTGGAAACGTGTTTGGTTTGGAAGCTTTCAGACATTCAATTTGAGGTTTGGGTCCAAATATCTCACATCATCCAACTATACAGTCAATAACTATACATTCAATAACTATACAGTCAATAACTATACAGTCAATAACTATTGCTGTGTTGAAACAGTTGTATTCTTGTTTGGAGAAACTGAAAAGAAACCTTTTGGTGAAAATGTCCAGACATATTTTCAAAATTGCTTCTCAGTAACAGATTGATTTTCCTTCCCACCCCTTTCAGCAATTGATGAGTGATCAAATTAACCTCTCCCTACAAATTTCCATACATTATCCAGCTAACAAGTAATGGGAATACTAAAACTTGTTTGGTAAAAGTTGTTATCTTGGTCCCAGGCTGTGGTCTAGAAGTGCCCGGTGGGCAATAGCGCCTTAGTTTTGCCCTTGGGTGACTAGGGAATTTTAGTTTTTTCACACAAGACCTATGCTGGGGACCCTGGATTTCACAGTTTCAGAGCATTCAATTCCATTCAATTTTCCTTGGAGCACTGCATTGTGATTCAACACCAAATTCTCATAACCAACTTACATGGATAAGCACAGCAACAAGAGGGCAGAATTACCAACTAGAACTTGGGAATCAGAGGTTTAAATGTTGATTCCGACAATGCCAATAATAACTAAAAGAGGATTGTTAAGTAACAGTTCTTTTCTCACCTCTGCTGCTCCTCTTCTAGCCGAATCAATGAGTTCTCCAAATCACTAGAATGTTCATCTTCTGTCTCTTTCAATTTAGCTTCTTGTTCCTTCAATGTTTCTGTTGCAGACTGAAGCTGTAAAAAAAGCAGTGCATATTAATGAGTGAATAAAGGCTGATAGTTTCAAAAGAAACTGTTTGGGGCTGTGTCGGTGGAAGTAACGAAATAATTTGGATATATCAACAAAGTTGAAATGGTAAATTGGCCACTGCAATGATTACAAAAGCTGACGTTTCGAGCGTTAGCCCTTCGTCAGAGCACGTTAGCTCTTCGCTCCGACGAAGGGCTAACACTCGAAACGTCAGCTTTTGTAATCGTTACGGTGGCCAATTTACCATTTCAACTTTGTTGACATATCCATATTAATAAGTACTTGTTTCACAGGAAAAAAAAGGAAAAAAGTTCAGAAACACCTGCAATGAATTTCCTAACAAGTTAACACATATTAGGATATAGTTACCTTTTTCTTTATGTCTTCTTCTTGGCTTTTAGACTCGTTTACACTTGTCTCAAGCTCACCACATTTGCGTTTATACTGCAACACTTTCTGCTGTAACTTCTGAATCAACTGAGCCTGCCTTTGCTGTCCATCTTGATAGGCTTGAAGTTTGCGCTTGTAGTTAGAATGTTCCTCTTCAAGTTTACTCTTGAGGTAAGCTACTTGCTGGACAAGGTTGCTGTCTGTTACTGATTGGTCGCCAATTGGGAGACTGCTATATCCACCACCTCCAGGGCTGCCTCCCCCCTTCATGTAATGCTCCAACTAAAAGAAGAAAACTTAAGACAGTGAACCATTATTTCTCAAGTACAGGATTTTATGTTGCCAGTGGTCCATTACACTATATTATATCCAAGGAAAGAATGGCAAAAGCACATTTCTTAGGCTACATGTGAATGGAAGAGGGTTTATAGCACAGTAACCAAGACAAAAAGAAACACTAAATAACACCAAAGAAAACACCCGAAATGTTTGTAAACCATGATGGAGTAGAGTGATTTCGTTGCATAAATGCTGGCTGTTTGATCAGTCAGGTACTTATAGTATCTCATTTATTTTTATAAATGTAAATGGAGCAGGGTTGGCGTAGTGGTGAGAGCGCTTGCCTTCCACCAATGTGTCCCAGGTTCGATTCCTGGACCCGGCGTCATAAGTGGATTGAGTTTGTTGGTTCTTTACTCTGCTCTGAGAGGTTTTTCTCCGAGTACTCCTGTTTTTCTCCTCTCCTCAAAAACCGTCGTCATTTGAATTTAATTTAGAGTTTATTTGCATTTACACACCACCCCACAAGCTGTTCAGCTTTAAAAATTATAGTGTCTAAATAAAGGTGATATTATTATTATTACTAGTAGCAAGAAAACTGTGTTGTAAAGAAACAAATGTTTGTATGGATTTAAGCAGATAACCAATCTATCATGAACAGAACTTTGAATAGAGGTTAATAAAAAGACCACAATCTTTCCCCCTAAAGAAACCTTCTTGTAGTGCGGTCATAAATGCTTCAGAATCACAGATTACCAGGTTATTTCAGTATTTAAAACTTTTATTTAAAGAATATAAGTTGGGAGGTCCATAATACCTGGAAAGTTTTGCAAGTAAATAAAATTAACAGCAGGATAAAATTTGCAGCAGCTTAATTAAACTTCAAGAGTCATTTAACTTCTGACATGAACAAGTGTACAGCGGGAACCTTCCAAGTTGTCCCTAGTTCAAACTCAATACCTCATTCAAGTCACTTGATAATTGCAAAAAATGTTTAGAACATTTTAATGAAGGTTTTCATCTCAATAATTAACTGGTGGCATTTGTCCAACTGAATAATATGATACCACATGAACAAATATGCAATTTGAAAATGGAAAACTAACTTTTTTTACTTAAAAACAATTCTCAAATACTCTTGCTTATAATGTAGAACTGTTAAGTTGTTGAGTCATATTCAGCTTTTAAAAATCAAGATAAGATTCTCCACAATTTTTTCATTCTCAAAGTATTATCGTAACCATACTTGTTAATTCTGGTTGACACACTGTTTCTTGAAAATCACTTGAATTACATTTAATTTTGGTGTGGGGAAAAATTGCATTAATTTTTCCTTATTGTCTTTCTTTCAGTTCGACACACAAAAAAAATTAATTGAAGTTCCAAAGATACTAAATTTCAAGAAGGGAGCTCAGTGTTACACTTTATGATATCTGACAGACTTCTATTCTTTTACCACCTGTCAATTGGTCAAGAACAATATCAAGCTTACCCTGCTGGCAGAGGTGTTTATTTGTTAACTTCCCCTAAGGTCCACGATAAATAAAGTCCTCTGCGCTCGGCCTGTTAAATCTTCTTTGAACATGCGCGGCCTGTTGCTTATAAACAAATTAGTTCTCAGCCAACTTTCAACTTCCGGTGAATTCCTAAAATTAATAGGATGCGTGCACTTAAAAATGTGTTTTAAACAGGTTCTGACTGGTTTTGCAAATCAGATTATCCACAAACTTGGATAATTCCCAGGCGCATGCTCAAAGAAGATTTAACAGGCTGAGCGCAGAGGACTTTAGTTTTACGTGGACCGTAGGGGAAGTTAACAAATAAATGCCTCTGCCAGCAGGGTATATCAAGCTCTGGTTGTGGTTTCAAAGTCATTAATTTTACAAACTTAATTTCATCTATCCAAGTCTCCCATATGATGACACCCGATGCCATATAGTCAACCGAGGAAATTGCTTTTTCCACAAAGAAGATACACAACTGGAAACAGTACCAACTAAAGAGTTACTCAAAATAAAACACAAGAAGATGGGGTTCTAGCTTTGTGCGTTTATACATGTTCAATTCTTTTTTTGTTTTCGAGAACCCATAAAAATTATGAAATGAAAAAATTAGTACTAAGACTGTATGCTAAAACATCAAAAATGGGATTATATAAAATGTTAATCTCGTTGAAAAACTTGTGAAATAACAAACAGAAACCATGAAAATGGAAACTAAATGTCCCAAATGTATTGTTCGAGCTGAATATTTCAAAGTTGATTCGTACACATTAGTACTAAAGTTTAAGTTGAATATATAAAACTTTTCAAAGTTTTAAGCGCGTTGGTAGATGAGAACAATCTGCCATACAATGACTTTTGCCACCATGAATAAGCAATAGAGAATTTTTCCGCTTAGACTTCACTCGTTTTACAATACAAAACAAATTTACTAAACGTAATTAACAAGAAGACAAAATCATATTTACTTCCTGTCAACTTTCAACAAAGGACAACGACGTAAACAAACTAAAATATTCAAAACTTTGGCGTCCTTGGGTACGTATTGTATTATAGCTCGAAATTACTGAAAATTTAAAGGGAAATCGCAGAGGGGGTCGAACTCGCTAAAGTTATTCGCCAAAAAGGCCACACGGCATTTCATTTCTTATCACGGTAACTTATCAAATTGCAAATTGAACAAAATAAACTTTTCGGTGACTTGCTCGACCAAACCCTTTGCAAACACGATTTTCACTTGACGAAAGTTCGGTTTTTTTTTTTAATGTTTCCTTTTTTCAAAAAAAAATCTGCAGAAAAACTAGCCGAACGTTCTAATGACAGTGAAAAGAAGAATAAAGAAGAAAGTGAAATTCAAACTCGCTAGGTGATAAACTTTCAAACACTAAGCTTATTACAACTCGGTAAAAATTAACGAAAATGCCACATTCAAGAGTTTCATTCACCTTATCGCTAACTGCCATGTATTTCGATCCAATTTCATCTCGTTCCGCTCTCGTTGCAGCGAGTAAATCTTCCAAGCGATTCACTTCGGACTGAAGCATTCGTGACTCCTCTCCGAAACCCGGAGACGCCATCTTGGAATCAACTGGTGAGATGGATTTTGTAACGATGTCTCGTATCTTTGTGGGAACAGTTGGACTTTTAGCTCCGGGATCTCCGTTCAAGTGCTGGTCTTCTAGCCTCTGTGAATGAAAAGCCAGAACTTGAATATATCGGTCAAAATTATAACAGCGCAATGACGGATTATAACAGTTTGAACTTGGCTCGCGCGAGTTCAAGGTGGAATGATCACCCGTTCGAGAACCCTTTTCAAACGCCTTTTTGTTTGAAAACTACATAAAATTTTCACTTACCTTGATAACAGAGCTCAAACCTGGTTCAGGTGAGCCACCTAAAATCGAACTTCTTCCTTCGTAATAACTCATCCTAAGAGATTATATCCCCCGTTCAAAGGAGCAAATTAGTCGATCAGTGTCCGAAATTTCGCGCTTCGATGCTGTAGTTCTAAACAACACCTCAACATTAGCTGCGAACTGCAAATATCACAGCTACTGTGCAGAAGGATAAAAACACATAAAGTTCCAAACTTAGGCACACTGGCTAAGAAATCTCTCAATTTCTCGTTCAAATGCTCTCTTACTTCTCACTGGCCGAGGCCAACGTAAACTATAGCCGCAAACGATCGGCAGGTACTAGTCCTTCTAAACCGACGCCACGCTCTCGGTCAGAGGCTGTTGCTATGGAGACGAGACGCTGAAGCGGGACTAGCGATTGTTTCCCGCCACCTTTCAACAAGAAAACTGAGCAAAGTGTCAATATTTCAAAAATACCATTGTGTACAAGATCACCTCGGAGGTCTGATTTTGTTAAGAAAACAATTATGAAATCAAGGAATCTGAGAACATACTACAATAACCTCATCAAAGGAAGCCCTATTTCCCAAAATATCGAAGAGTTAGGGAGAAAAATAAGCCAGTTATTTCATATAAAGGAACAAGTTCGCAAGGGCGGCTTGTCAACACTGAAATTAAAAGAAGCAACATTCCTGAATCTCCAAAACGAGTAATTAACGTCAGGTATATGCACGAGCTACAATGCAACAAAGTGGAACTTCCAAAGCTCGTGTTTCTTTCTAATCGACAAAAGAACAATCGCAAATTTCGTGGAAAAATGGTACAGTATTCGGTGATGCTGTACAAATTTAATCCGGTGTATTACGGCAATCAATAACTAATGACCTTTTGTTGTTAATTCACTGGAGTAATTAATAAATTAAGTGAGAGACGAGCCATGACATTTTGTCTTTTCAAACAGGTAATTAAAAACCGCAAATTGTTTTGAAAGTAAATTACAGTGCGTCTTTACGATGATAATTACTGCGGTTGAAAAACAACAGAAATATTTCATAAAGCCTGCTTAATTTGTGCGGCATCTTGAATATCTTGAGGAAGCCATTTGGAATTGAAAATGGAAACCATAAATGCAAGTTTTGGAAAGCTATTAGCTGGCTGCACCTTGATGATAGGAACAAAACTTAATTTAACACCACAAAGAATCCATTAAACGAAAACAAAAAGAGTCGTTGTGCAGTTCTATAGATGATGTACAAAAAAGTTTATAATTACAGCTAGCTTTGAAGTGTCATTGAAAAAGCTCTCTTCACCATTCGGGCAGAGTCGAGACGGGGTTCTCTTTGATCTCAGTAAATTAATTGTGCAAAAGTACGAATTAAAATTTCGGGATGCGTAACTTTGCCTGTCTCTTAGATCCACTGAAATGATATCCTGAATTCTTTAACAGGGCGGCAAATGTACATTATTATGTAAAGAAATTTGAGCTCGACAATTTACGAAAATCGAAAAAAAAGAAAAGAAAAAAAAGCAAAACAAACTTTGAGTGAAGAGAAGGAAAATATCACGGTGCACAAAAGTTGTTACACTGGTATTACACACTAAATCGATGGATTACAATTACCATAATCCTTAACTATTCAACATTTTCGATCAAAACCTTCGTCTCATCGTTGATGGACACCGGATTAGATAGAAAAATATTCTAGAATATAAAGAGCAAAGAAATGAAAAATACCTGATTAATATCTTCTTTCTTAAGCCTCTGACCAAAACTCCGCCAAAAAAAAATTACAAATCACTTCGAGCACGAATAAATCTGCAAGAAACGCGACTCGTATGCATTTCTATGGCGACGGCTTAAGTTGTATTCAACACTGATTGAATCTTGTCAGATTCAGTAACACCATAAGCATACACAAAACGAAACTTTTGTTTGTCAAGGATAAAGAGAGAAGCTTACAGTCAAGATGTATTAGACGCCGGATAGCATTAGCAAGCCCACAAATTGCGCCCTGGTTAAGTAACACTCACATCAAAAATGAAGAATATAGTTTTGTGCCCGTAATTTTATGACACATTGATTTAATCAGAGTAAACGTTGTTGTGCGGAAGTGTGATAACTAGCTTGCGATGAATTTGTACTGATCTCCCCTGTTCTATGGATATTGAAATTTTGCAAGTGCCGGGGACGCTTTCACTGTTTCGGGAAGCATCCAGACAGATAATTGCAAAAGTTTGACTGCTAAAGCACTGGACTACTCGAATGAATTAATCAGAAATATGGGACTTCTCTTTTAGGAACTGACAAAGTATTCATTTAGATTCGAAGATATGCCAAAACGACACCGTTCACAAATATTAGTTCATGAAAACTGCGGTAGAAAAATGAAATGCGAAAAAATATATCAGTTTTGTTGGGACTGATTAATTGCTTATCCAGCTACCCAAACAAGCAATGCATGAATCCTCAGCAAAATTTAACTCTTCACTTCGCGCAAATTAGGTTCGGAGACAAGGAATCGAGCTACTTATGTCGAACAATCTATTTCCTCTAAGATTGATTGATTTTTAAGAAATCAAAGAAAACTACATCTGAAAAAAAAATCCAAAAAGTTTGTCACAGGACTCAGAATTTACTTCAGCTCCACAAAATGGTGTAACTTTCTGAACTGAATGAATCGATTGTGCAAAACACGGGTGTCTGTGTAAAATTGCATGATTAATTTGACATGACCTGCGAGTTACCATATCTATTGTTTGTATGATATACATATACACTTTTCCTAAAACTCCAACAGAGCGGCTAGTTGGGAAAGATGACTCACTTTGCTCCCATGGATATTCTAATTTTAGCCGATAGCTAGCGCCAGCTGTAGTTTTGCAGTTCGGACTACCACACTTTGATATACAGTTTGTTTTCATGCTGTCAATTTAAATGTCAACCTTAACAGCGGTGCGGAACGACCACACGGATTGAAAATTCATGCTGGAAGGTATATTTCCGTGTATCAAAGACGAATTCCTCTTATTCCGAAAGCTTTTTTGGTCTGTTAAAGTGATGAGAACATGGCACCATGTTAAGTGATTATCTTAGTGAGATTGGAGATTTCATGAAAAAAACAAAGTGAAAAATTATCCTCAGTTTTAGGTCATCAACTGTAACGTTTGCATAATTTATAACAAGATCGCACTAAACAGGGTTCCAAGGATCTCAAGCCTGCAGCACAAAGGCAGCTCAGCAAGAAAGTTGAAAATAAAAAAGATTTCAAGGAAGACTAATTCGCTTGTCACATCGGAGAGTGAATTTCATCATAACTGCGGCAGGGATCACAAAAAAGTTTTCCAACTCACACTCTCGAACACCGGCAGGTGCTTTTGCAACCAATAACAATAAAAGTAAAGAAATATCGAAAACGGACTCAACGAGGACTTGTGAAATTGCTTTTTAAACATGAGATGTCACAAATTTGTTGGTGAAAGAGAGCATCTAGCTCAGTTATAGTTTGACGCAAAAATTTCGTCCAACAAGTAGATTTCTAAAGGCAAAATACGACGCTCTCAGGAAAAAAAAACAGTTCGATCCAAAAGATCAACCACAATTGATCCAAGTGAAAGATAGAATGTAAGTACGATCAAGGAATATAACGAAACGCTTTATTGAATGTAAACAATGGAGTCTTTTAACTCGCTAAGTTGTGGAGTTTGTTGGATCTAGAAGTTCTTTTGTTATGCAAAATAAACGCAAGCAGACGCCATTTACACCTATCCGATAACTACTTCCCGTCTTCCCTTTAAAATCTATCGATGAGATTGTCAAATTATGCAAACAGTGGCCTTCATTTTTAGCAGCTATTTTTTAAATTCCTATGTTTATAATAGCTACAAGAATTTATGAGAAATCGAATTCACGAAGAAATCGGAGCATAGCGACGACTGTTTACCTTCTTGACAACGCTGAATTCCACATTTTCAAAAATTGTTTAATTGCCCTCCAAATATTCCTTTTTAGAATGCTAAGGCCTTGCAAACTATACCCAACGATTTCCATATAATTTTCAAATCTGTGATTGTTTTTGTTTTGCAAAGAGGCAGAAATAACTATAGAAATATTATTGCATGATGTTAAGTTGTAGTGGAAAATTCGTCTTCAATCCTAATATAAATGAATCCTCTGCTTTTTTGAGAAGTCAGGTTAGATTTTCGTAAAATAAACAAAGCGTTGTAAATTGTCTATCGCGTCTGTATAAAGGCTCAGATAAGAGCTGTTGAGCTAGATCGCGGGAGATTCTGAAAACTTACATTTAACGAGTAATGGCCAGGAATATTGATTAGAGTTTCTGTTAAGTTTTCATCTGACCAATATTTTCTTTTTGTCCAGGATACGATGCGATAATTTCCACTCCTTCTCAGAATAAGAAAATTGAAAGAACATGCCATCAACATTGTCACCTTTTAGTCTGAAATTTTCTCGTCTAATCCAACGCCGCGCTGCTTGAAAGTGCTTTAAATTCAAGCTGAAAATGCCATTTAAAGCAGTTAGTAAAACTACTGATTATCACCTTAATATTTCGTCCGATCGAATGGTACCCAACATCGTCTTCTTCCGATCCGCTTTGTTTAAACGCATCCTGGTCATCTTCATGTTTGGGAGCAAAACTCACAGGATCTTCCATCAGTAGCGAACTTCGGTACTTGACAGCTTAGCAAAGTTTTTAACTCCCTGAAGTTTGCGCTGCAGTGTGATTTTGCAGTCTTTTTAATCCCCAAGACAGGAGACGCTATGATATCCTCTTCTGATTGGCTGAGAGATAAGAGGTTTGTTAGAGCGCTTATTGTAATCAGTGCGGTATTATGCGGTGTACGACAAAATCAGCTCTCTTAACAATACCTAAATGGGTCCACTAAGCAAAGAATAGGTGGCTCTTTTTGAAAACCAGACGGCTTGGTTAAACAAACCAGCCAAAGCAAATACAGAAGTGATTCGATAGCCATAAATGTTGCAATATCATCTGCTTTGTACTTTTCACAAAGCTACGCCCACTGAGCGAGCAACTTTAGTGAGCTTTTTGTTGAATCACTCACGCTTTAATAGCGTGTGGGTTTGCACAGCTTGTGACATTAGAAAGAGGTATTCATGGCTGGGTCAATACGATATTTATCTGATTGTATCTCATATGTAGTAAGGGGGGTCCTGGCGTACCCGTGGGGTCCTGGCGTACCCGTGGGGTCCTGGCGTACCCGTGGGGTCCTGGCGTACCCGTGAACGCTCCCCTCCCCCATCCCCTCCTACTTAGTGGAATTTTTTTTTGTCAGTCAACACTATCAGACTAAAGAAACCTTGTAATCCAGATGGCGAAAGTGCGTGAATGCAAAGAATCTGCATGACATAAATCTCTTCTAGAACTAAATCCTCCATCTGCAGGTCCTCGCCTAGGCCCTTATAGACTGGGCTAGCATAATTTTTGGCACAATTTGGAAAATCGAGTATAATTCTTGCTCTTTTTGTGAAAGTAACACCACTAGCAAAATCAGCATATTTACAGTTTTCTGATGGGAATATTATCAGAGTGATGAATTTTTTGCCTGGTCTCTAAGACTGACTATTTTCAGGTTTGGTCCGTGGTTCAGTCTATTTCCAATCAGTAACAGTGTCTTGGACGAAGAAAGTTACCACAATACTGAATATTTTACGTATGATGCACGATCCTCGCAGTAGAGAGCGCTATTTATGCAATAGCGAAAATCAGTCGTACAGAGGACTGGGCACAACGGAAGTAAAGATTGCGTCGGTCCCTGTTCTCGCTTTCACAAGCGACAAAATGGCGTCGAAGAACGAGAAACCGGACGCTAATATGGTACATTTTGATACAGTAAGTCACCACTTTTAGCTTGGAATTAAGTGCAGCAGTTACTTAAGTTTTATCTGAGCAAAATGATATAACGCAAAATAAAAAAAAGATATCCTGCTTTATTGACAATAAACATATAATGTCAGGAGCCCATAATGGGGTCCTAATAATGTCTACTGGTTTTTGTTCCTTCTTCGGAAAGAAAGAATTGAGGAAAAGCAGCATAATTTTCAAAAACGATCATAATATTGAGCATAATTTAGAAAAACTCGAGCAATGCTAATGGCATAAAATGCTACTTTTACTAGCCCATCTGTAAAGACCTATCTTCGCCTCGTGACTACGAACGCGCAGATGCACATGATAGGTCAGCAATATAGGCTACTTCACTAAGATACACATAAATTTGTAACCGTGACTCCTTCCCCCCTCCCCTTCGTGACTCCTCCCCCCCTCCCCTCATTCCGTCCCTTTGAACAATCCCAGCTAAGCACCCGGTTAGTTTCGTTCAGTATTGTTTGTTTCATTTGGATGCCTTACAAGGCAAAGTTCTGATGATCATGGAAAAAAACATGAGGTACTGCACACTTTAATTTCTGCCTCGAAGGTCATTTGAAATACTTGTTATCTGCCAATTTAAGATCTCTGTTTTGCGACCCCCAGAAAGGAAAAAGGGTGTCATTAACAAAGTGAATCCTTTGAAATTTGTCATGTCATTATTTGCAGTCTGGGAAAAGACTAAAACTTAAGCCAGAGAATAGGAAATCAGTGGACTTTTCTCTACTTTTCTGGCTTCACATGCGAATTCTTTAGTTTTCATTAGTAAAGTGGACTCGATGCATTCAGTTTGTTAAACAGAGTCATCCGCTTCAAGTTTACATGGAACTGATTGGAAACAAATAACACTGCAAGTCCAAGGCTGTGAAGCTCTTCCTACTAGTACCAAAGAGTTTTAGAAGCCAGAATAAAACTGTAGAAGGCCCGCGAGCGGTCCCCACCTAGACTTGCTCACAAGACGCGCTTTTAAGCGCGTAGCGCGAGCCGAGTAGCGAGCGCGAAGCGCGAGTCGAGCTGAGCGAGCGGTAGCGGGTCATACCACACCAGGGGCCCGTTTCTCGAAAGTCCCGGTAACTTAACGGGCCCGAAGCCATCTTTTAAAATAAAAATCTAAAAGATGGGAAAGCAGATTATGACATCCAAACCAGTCCTTTTTATTTCTTTAGCTGATAGTTTTATTGTATCATTTTCAAAACTTTTGAAATTCCCATCTTGAATGAAAACAGAACAGCTTCACTGGCCCGTTAAGTTAGCGCGACTTTCGAGAAACAGGTCACAGAACAGAAAACCAACCGAACGACTTTGAGAAAGTCTAGTCTCCACCCAAACAGCCGCGCTAGCTTCGCGCTAGCGCGCTCGAGGCTGATGCGATAGCCTGGTACAAAGCCGAAAGAGCCGAAATAGACCGGGCGATAAGTAAATTCAAGATGGTGGACGAATCTGGTGGAACGGAGCAGAGAGTGCTCAGAGTAAATCAGGTAAACTGGACAAATCGGAGCCACAATTGTGCTTCTTATCGGTATTTGACTGAATTAACGAGTTTTTCACTATTTATAGCTGGATGCGGCTCAGCTTGATGAGGAAATTATCCATCTTCTTCGAAATCAGCTAAACAGGGCGTTTCAATATTTCGAGGTAAACAAACAAACAAAAGTTTGCTGATTTTATAACCGTAATATTTCTGAAGGGAACTTGAAGCCGAGGGAAATACATCCATCTAACAAGCCCCTCTTATTGTCTCAATCTTCTCGTTTACTCAAGTCCTTTGAAGCTATTTTCTGTGCATATTTGATTCAACAGCACTTAAATAAACTCTTTGTCAAGATAGAGAAAAGAGTTATTGAGTTTATTTTTACATCCATTTAGAAATCACTAGTGATCCTAGAAATCTGATTAGCTCTGATTGGTGCGATCTAATCACGCATTGCTCAAATATAGATAAAGAAAAATGGCCTAAAAGTCAATCTGGAAATTATGCAGTTTCAAAATAGGTGTAATTAAGTGGTAAATTTTGTAAGTAAAGAATATGATTTGGCACTATTTTTTTGAAAAAAATTCTCCTTTCAGAAAGATGCTAAGCACAATATGTAACTCAAATACACATCAAGAAAAATGGCCTAAAAGTCTATCTGGAAATTCTCCAATAAATTGTCTTTAAATCTTACTTTTATCTCTAAAAATCTCAAAATTTTTTTCTAAAAATTTAGATTTATCTCAGTTTATTTTTTCAAAATAATCACATAACTTGCATACTATGCAAGATTCCTCTGGTGAAATTACATGGATGCACCTTGAAATTGGTTCTGCATCTTGTGCAACTTTTTCTTGAGTGATGAATTATGCTGAGAAAATGCAAAACTTTTTTGTTGTCCTAGGCTGGTGTTCTAACAAAATATGAAGCTGAACTGAACGCACTACTGAGATTTCTTGTATGGAGGGTAAGTCTGTTTTTGATCTCCTTCAATCCACTTAATTTCAACATCACAAAGAGGTTTGCTATAGGATGATTAACCCCATAACCCCTTAAGATTGATCAACATTTAATTTCTTCCCATATTATGATCCTTGAATCCAACATGAAGGTCATGACAGTTGAGGAAATGAACACCAATCAGAGCAGCTCTCTATTTTTAAACAAATTCTCCTCGTCAGCATGTTAGAATATTTCTAGAGCAGCATGGAGAATATGCATACTGATGTTAGGTTTGGTTTCAAGAGTTTCTTACTGTCACTTTATATGGTTCAGTTTTCAGTGTACAGCAGTAATTCAACCATTGGTCAACACATGCTCAACATGAAGTACACTTCAGCTGGTGAGAGAGTTAAACAAGCAGTCACTGTTACATTGCTAATCGATGAACCCTTTGAACTACCAGATCTCACTAGAAAATCTCCTTACTGTCTGCCAAATAAATCTTAGGATGCTAGTTGCTATTTGGTATTGGATCAACTAATCTTCCCCAAACTGACATTTTTTGTTTTCCTTATCAGTTCTTTGCTTGATATTGTATTGATATTGTAAGGAGAGGTTCTGTAGTGGTCACTCATGGGAGTTTGTTGGTGACCCACCCCAGGGTAGTGGGTATCCTAAGATGCCATGGACATATCACCTGATATGACAAAGTAATAATGTATAATTATGAACCAACTTGATGTGCTCTTAGATTCTGTTAAGATGGTTGCAAAGATATCCCCTCCCCCTTTGAAATACTATATATCTAGCCTTTAATTTTTACCTAACAAGCAGACTCCACATTGCTGCATGTCTTTTCTGTAATAGGTCACAGATGACATAAAAATGTGATTAAAACTAGAAAGCAGTGCACAAGAGGTAGTTGAGTGTGTGATTGTTGTTCTCATCACATTTTTATGTCTTTTGTGGTCTATTACTGCCCAACCCTTTGGACAACATGGCCAAATATATTTTTCTTTTATGATAAAAAGCAAAATGTTGTTAATGGTGATGTTATCTATGCATCTCAGAAGATCATCAGTAAAAACCAATCAAAATGCATAAATGATTTGGCCTATTGTGTAAAATGCATGTCACATCTAAGAGATCATTTACCAGTAATCACCTTTCAACTTAGAGGGGATGTACAAAAAGCCTTTATTGAGTCTCACAACCACAGGACAAATACAGGAAACAGGAAAATGAAAACCTTCTGTTTGTGTTGTTGCAGTTGCAGTTTTTGTTTGTTCTTTGACATATTACGATCTGTGATCCAGACAGAGTGCCATAAAAGGTATTTTGTTTTCTTCATATAAATGGTGTATCTCAACAGGGAGCAATGTGAGTCTACTACAAAAGCTTCTGTTTGGTTTCTGTGTTGTTGGAATACCTTATATAAGAGAAAGAAGCATTGAAATAAAAGGAATTACAGACAGAATTTTGAACTTCAACTCTGTGAGTACTTGTTGTTGAATGAAAATATATATCCCTTAAAATCATAGTATTGAAGTACTGGTAATAATAGTCTGTGCTGCAAGCCAGTCACTTGAAAGCTAGGTCAAAACCAACTTAACAGTTTTGGGGAGGGGGGGTGTATACAGAATAAAGCCTTAGATGATTTTTGATGCAGCATCAATTTCTTCCTCTGTTTCCCAAGGGATAAGTTATGATTAGATAAGATATCATTAGAATCAAGTGAGAATTTTCACACACATGTTTAAACATAGTGAAGAAAATGGTTAGTAAGGGCTGAAGATCACAAAGTCATTGTTCTTCTTCTTTTGTTTATTGTTCCTTTATGAACGGCACTATTGCAGTAGAATTTTTGCATGCGCTATATGCTTTGTATCATTTCATAATGTTATTTAACATGGCATGTATTTGAACTGTATTCATTGTGGTTTGTTCAGTTTTACTCAGCAAGTCCACAATTATATTTCATTGTACTGCACATTGTGCAGCTTCTTTGCCATTAGGCAGTAATTTGTCAGCATCATAACAAATTTTTAACCATTCCGATCAATACCAATTGATGTCAGCAGTTGTTGAGGTTGAACATATTGTAAAGTCGCGTTAAAAATTGCTTTGTTTTATTTTTTTGCTGAGAGTTAGTCACCCATGGCAACCACAGGGGCTTCATCTGTGGCTATTACTCACCAACACATAACTTAAGTCATTACTGTGTACACAAGAGCTTGATTTGTGTCTCGTTCTTATCAGTTTGGAATTTCCTTTTATCACTTTAGATTTGGAGATGTGTCAGTATGGGTGAAAAGCTGTTTCATTTTGCTTCTGTCCTTAACTTTCTCATATTTTTACAAAAGGGAAAGTATCCTTTGGTAATATTTTGATATATGTGGGATTGATAACATGATTCTTGACCTGGATTGAATGACTGTTTCCATGAAGAATAACTTACCTTTCAGTGTTCTGCCTTCCCCATAATGTGTAAATGAATACAGCTGGTCATACTGTTAAATAATGATGCACTAGTATAGTGCATTCTCCTATGCCCTAATGTGCTTTACAACACTTTGCAGAGGACTTTGACAAGACTGAATTGGGCATTTTACAGTTTTTGAAAGGGAATTTGGCAGGTGCCCCCAGTAGACCTCTTCAGCTTGTATGTTTTATTACCCATTTTTGGTCATGTGATAATACACTATAAAACTGTTTCTTTCAAATTTCTTCTTATTCAGGTGCATCTATATGTAAAATTTATAAAAGAGAAAGCTGGGAATACCTTTGAGACCTAAAATGGGTAAACAAAACATAGAAGCTATAAGGAGGCTCTGATGGACTTGGCAGTAAGACAATTCTTTCAATCTCCTTTTCAATGGTTGAAAATTTACATTTTGTACCTTCTGCTGTTGTGCCAACTTTTAGTTGTCCTGTACAATATTTCAATTTGCTCCTGTCTTGTACTTTTGTTTGCTGTATTTTTTTTTAAAGATCTCCTCTTAATCCTTTTTATGGCTTTCTTAACTGGGTCAAGATATCCTTCACTTCTTGAACGTGTTCTTGGAATTCATCCTGTATTTGCTCAGCAACAATCAATTCGTCAAGTCAGCTTTGATTTCATGACTCGTGAATTACTCTGGCATGGATTTGCAGTGAGTATTACTTTGTGGCACTTCACCTTTTCACCTTCAAGATCTCATTAGTAGTTCTCCCTACTGTTTGCTTTACTTTTCTTATATTGCAAGTTTGGAGAATTTGGCATTAGATATACTAATAATTCCCCTAGTTGATATTCTCATCACTTGTCTGGTTGATATTGTATTGATGTTGTATGGAGAAATTCTGTCCAGGTCACTCATGGGAATTCAAGGGTTTATGGAGGTGATTATAATCTTGTTTATACTTTAACTGTTGTAATATCAAACGTTTTGATCGTTTTCTTGTAGGAATTTGTGTTTTTTCTTCTTCCACTCATCAACATCCACAAATTAAAAAACTTGCTGTTCAGACGGTTTTCAAGTCCAGCCTCTCTTGACAAGCAGCCATCAATCAAAGTAGGATGTCATGCGTGTGGAATTTGTAATGAACCTCCTACTGCACCTCACCAGGGTCTGTGTGGTCACGTGTTCTGTTATTACTGCATCAAGGTAAGTGTTGAATAGACCAGTGGCTCAAGTAACACTTTGAAGCACACGGGAGGGGGAAGGAGTTAGTTCAGCATTAGTGCTACAGGGCAAACTGCAATCCATGATTGGTGAATGAGGATTGTTATTAGAAATGTGAAAGGTGTATGATCTGAACTGAATAGCTGGCTGATTTGAATTACGTTTCTGTAGCAATCATGGCGTTTTGCAAAGCAACACCTCCTTAAAGGGGATTCTGATACCATGCATCCCCCGGAAAAAAATTGAAAATGGGAAATTCTCTGGACGTGATTTCCAGCATTCTGGGACATAATTGAAGTTCTTTTTCTAGCCGGACGTTGGTTTTAGAATAATTAAAAAGAAGTTCTTATTTTTTTTTCCTATAAAGAAATTCGCAAAGTAATCGGTGCAAAATGGTCTGACAGCCAGCGGGTTTTCGCCGCCTACCGCCTCCTAATGTGAACCCTGTTTGTGTGCTTTCTTTTTTGTGCACTAGGAGAAAGCTTTCACGGTCATGGTGATTTTGTTCACCCAAGAGAAGATATTGGATAACAAATTAAAAAGGGTAAAGAGGGTAAACTGACATGTAGCGTCCCATCCTAGGAGAGAAGCCTGCCATATTCTCTGCGACTCCGGTACTTCTTTGTGAACTTAGCTCCCTCCTGTCTCGTGTTAATTATTATTAAGAGTAAACTATCATCCTTGATTTCTTCCAAATAACTCGTCTAATTGAAACAGTTACGTTGCACTGACATGCAACCGTTTCATCGCACACTGCAGTTTCATTTTTTGTTTCTTTTCAGGCCAACAGTTTAGCTGATTCGTCATTTCCATGTCCACTCTGTGGTTTACCTGTGAGTGATGATATTACCCCTGTTGAATGTACAGTGGCTTTGGAAGTAACGTGATTAATAAGTGTTCAAAAGTCAATCGTATTCTGAAATTCCAAGAGATCGACTTCCTGGAGGAACAGAAGAGTTCTTCAGCCCTATGCATACTTCTGGCGTGTAAATGCCTCATGTAGTGAAAAAGTTTGCAGGAAGTTGTCTGGCAACTTAGTTTTGTTTAAAAATTGATGGCTTCTGCGAGACAATGAAAACTCAAGCAGAAGGCGGGATTACTGTAAAATACCGATCAACAAATATACTCGGCGAATTAATAACACGATAATGTAATTTATTATACGGCTGGCAGCGCCCGTGGGCAAGATGAGAGGAATCCTGTGTTCTGATTGGCTACGCGAGCCTACCCTGCCCGCACGGAATCTCATACAAGAAAAAAATACGTGGCGCTTACTCACAGAGTTCGTAATCTTTGGACAATGTCAACAATGGAATCTCATAAAGCGGCAGCGCTTAAAAATAAACAAGTCATTCTTGATTCTTATTAAAGGGCAATTTTTTTGCGTTATGATTATTACTCCATGTTCGGTCAAGATGGCTGGATATTAACCCTGAGTCTCTAAACCCCATCCTAAGAAAATGTCATGGGGCACAGCCCATACCCGGCACCAAGCCAAGACTTTGCTCAATATTCACTCTCCCGATCTTGTTCCACTTTGACAATTGGCCATTCAACTGTTGTCACGAGTCGATTACGGACGTACTGGAAACTTTTGGGACATCAATAGATTATTTCTAACAACGAAGTGAAGATAATTTAAGGGAAAAAGGCAAACGTTTGTGGCCGGATTGGTATGGGACGAGGCCCCACGTTTCTAGACAGGCTGACGCCTTCACTCAACCTTTAATCCCTGGGGAGTGAAAGGCATCTAGTTTCTCACCATACTATCTCTACTGAATTAAAAATTAAGGTTATGAGAAGAAAGAAAATGATCGAAAACTCAAGCAGCTCTAGCTGTTCAAAAATACTCTTTAAGTAACATAGGAAATGTATGCAGAACAGTTTGGAGAACTTACTAGAGTGTAAAGGGTAAAACATGGCGTCAATCTCTTTCCCAGGGAAAAGGCCCTGGGAACGAGGTTGCACATGGTGAGTTGTCGATCGTCAATTTGTTGCGCTTTTCCCATTTTATTCAAAACTCAACCAACACATATACAGTAATCGTAAACATTTGAAATATAGTTTCTTTAACAATAATTATAAACTTCGGTTATACTTTTCTTTAAATTATCACTCTTCAAAATATATTGTGAACGTAGTTTTCATTCTGTATCAGGCTTGCATTGTTCTTAGATCTTTCAATAATTTAAGTATAATTTAATATCTTAAAATTGTTTATAACGTCAGTGGATGGGCTGTACAAGTGAAGTTGAAGAACTTAACGTTTGAAAATATATTAGAAAGTTGAAGTGTCTAGAAATTTAAACTATACTACCTATATTTTTTGTTCAGGAGATCTTTGAAATCTCCGGATTATTCTCTGTGGCCTGGGGCCCATTTCTCGAAGGTCCCGGTAACTTAACAAGCCCATGATACTGTTTTGTTTCCATTCAAGGTGAGGGTTTCAAAATTACTTAAAATCATGCAATAAACTATCACCTAAAGAAAAAACTGGACTGGTTATGGTGCCAGAACCTGCTTCTCTATTCTTTGAAATTTCGATTTTAAAACATGACTTAGGGCTCGTTTAGTTATCGGGACTTTCGAGTAACGGGATACTGGTGAAAACCAACGGGAAACCAACAGTGAAAACCAACGGGAGACAGAAATAACAGTCTTCAAAGTCATTAAAGGCGTAATCAACAAACTCGAATAAACAAAGTTTTTCTGGGAATGTCAGGAATACGACTTACAGTGGAAGCTGTTTTTCGTTAAAAACCACTCAGAACCCAAGGCGTAAAGAAAGACAGGTTTGTCTTCTAATATTGAAATACCATTGACTACGCGATCTGTTCTCGAGTTGTATCAGTCTCTGAAAGCGATTTCGTGGAGTAGGCGAGATTTGCTTGCCCCATCTGAGTCCTCAGGTCTGGTGGACCCACCAAAGTCCATTCTTGGTTGAGAGCAATCCATTTGGAGATATATCGCACGGTCTTACGCAGCCAGCGGTAGAAGAAAGCCAATCCCAGGAGCGCTCCAGCGGAACCCACCACGTAGAAAATGATACAAGGATTAGACACACACCTCTGGCTTCCGTCTTTAGCTATGGAGGCCACGTTCAGCGTCATAGCCACGACAAATGTTAACAACCACAGTATAGGGAAGGGCTTGTCTTCTGGGAGACGCCACTAATAAAGAGAAAAAGACAGGATGCGTTAGCCAGAAATCGCAAGCTACGCGACTGGGCAAAAAATCCGTATTTTGATCTTAACTTCCTTTCAGTTAGCACTCATATTTAACAACTATTAACCTCTGTCACCTACACTGAAGTGAATAGTTGTTGATAATGATCGTTTCTTCCATACTCTCGCAGCTAAGGTTGAATTACAGTATGGGTCAGTGTTACAAAGGTACTACATTAAATATACATCTTATTGATAACGAACGGTAACAAAATTATTAAGTCTGTCTGTGGCCCCCCACTACCGAATCTAATCGAGCATTTCCTGTTCGCAAAAATAACCATGATGCACCTCTGTGGCGCGAGGGAGGATGAAACTTATAGGTTCAGTCCTCCTCGCCCCAGCCATGAACCTGGAACCCAGTTCAGCTCTGCGAATCACGAGGGGTTGCAGCCGAGCCTCACTAAGGCCAGTTCCATAGTCAAGGCGGGGGAAGATTATCCTAAGTGCTTTCTGTTTTACTGACTCGACGAGCTCATTAAGGTACTCAGAACGATATGCCCAAACAGGCGCCGCGTACTCCAAGACCGACTGTATTAGGGAGCAATAAATAAGGACTAAATCAGTCTGGGGGACTCCTTTCAGTATACAGTAAAAGGTTTCAGTATATAGTACAACATTGAGATAATATGGCACAAAAAGATTATTTTAATTTATTTATTCCTGTAACGATTGCGATCTTTAAAACAAATGATACACGACAAGAACTTAAAATTGATATATTCCTTGAAAAGTATACACCAACGAGACAAGCATTGACATAATTGGTTTGAACCCTTGACATGCAAATAATTTGATTTATATTGGCATCACGTACATCGAAATTCTGAAAAAATTCGGTTCTCAGTAACGAAAGCAATGTGTTCTTACTTTCTGTTCGTAGAAGACAACAACGACCTTGAAGACCACATCAGACATGACAGATAAACGAGGGATCTTCATCAACAAACAATAGACCACCTGTCGTTCCACACCATTTGTTTAGCATGTTTCTAAACGAGTTGATATTATCGTGTGTCGCTGATTGAACTTAAAGAGTTTTGAGCGCGCAATTTTTGTCTTAGTTTTCTAAAACAGACTTTCTCGAAAATAGAAGGAAATGTTACAGAGGAACAGCGAGAATCATTTTAGTTCCCTTCACAGCTGCGGGAAACTCCCAACGAAATTCAAAATTATGACGCTTTCTCTGGTTAAGCGATTCGGCTGAAAAGCTCTCAATTTAAACTACCAAATTTGACAAACGAAAAATGTTTACAGTCATTTTCAGCTATATAAATGCGTAATGTGCAAAAAAACACATTATTTAGAGTGCACATTTACAAGGACATAAAATCAACAACATTAACAGCTGGAGATCAGTAAAAGTGCCATCGTTGCAAAATTAAGCGCGCTAAGGCCTGAAAAAATACTCCCATATTTTCATGAGAGCCCTAAACAGAAAACTTACCTTGCTAAACGGCTTCCTCTTTCGTTTTACCGCTAACGGGTACAAACACAGTTCACATTTACTCATAACAACTCTCTGTAACCAGCTCATTAAACACGAATGATGAACGAACTTAACAGAACCAGTACACAAACAGGGACTGATTAAAATTTCCATCTCGTCGTTACTGTGGCATATCCTACAAACGTCGCTTTCAACCTCTGCGCTGTCGCTCTCAGAGAAGTATAAAGTCGTCGTGTCCGGTGGTGACTTATCACAACTGTTTTCAGTATTATTCCTGTCTGTATCTGGTACACTCTCCATCTCGATGCATACACTTTCAGGCTGGTCCGCAAAATTTATGATAGTGGTATCATCTTCAAGTACCTCTTCTTTTTCCTCTATGGCGGCCGTTGCCGTCAGTGTTAGACCAGGATTTTTGCTCAGTTTGTCAGTTTCTATCGCAGGAGCTCTTTTTGTCATATTCTCTCCATTTGGTTGTTCGTCATAACAGCCCTCTGCTGAGTTATCTAACTGTTCTAGTTGCGCGGAAGTAGAGCTGTTGTGTTCCGCTTTTTGGATTTCATCACTTTTTGCATCGTCATTCTCCCTCCTCTGTCGACTGATTATTTTTCCCTGTTAAGATCCACTTCCTCCCTCCTCTTGTTCTAGAGGAAGATCGGTTTCAATACAGTCTCTAGGCGTAAAATCTGATCCTTCGTCCTCAATCGTAACCACTGTAACCTTGTCTCCTTTGTCGCTATCAGAACAATTTCCCTCAGCCATTTGTGCTTCTTCTACCATGTTAAACTTCCGTTGAGTTCTGTTGAAAGCGGAGAAAAAAATATCAAATATTATGCTAAATAAGAAAGGGTGACAACCTTACAAATATGAACACAACTCGGCTACTCTACGCAAGCAAAATTCTTAATATAAAGAAAATGTAATCCATACTGCAGTCTTCTCGTTACGAGTAAAAAAAAGGGCCATAGGTGTGATTTACTTATGACCATAAGAATAACCACTTTAGTCTAATCCTTTCAAAGGAAGGTAGTTGAAGAATGGGTATCATTAAAACATTACTTAGAAATGTGGATTTTACTTGAATAAACCCGACCAGAATTTAATTTTCATACAGCCATCCGAAATATTCGCTTGCTCATGAGAAAAATCGTCCTCCTCTGGTAATAGAACTTCACGGCGGTCTCGGAATAAGGAAAAAAAATCAATATTTTGATATCCTTTGAAAAACAGGAAATTGGCTTAAGCTCTTTACACATCACCACATTAACACAGACTTGCATAATCAGTGTGAAAACAAGACAAATTTACATGTACACTTAAAAATTTGGAAACCCTCACTTAAGTTCTTTCGCTATATCAGTGTGAAATGCTAGTGACACATTTACTGCGGGCATACCTTTCGCAGCCTTCCTAATTAAAAGAGCAACTCTTATCGACGACTCCATGGGAAAATAAGTCGATATTTCAAACGACAGGAGCTGAGAAGCTTACATTGACAGCTGAATTAAATATGGACCCTCGACTTCAAATGGCTTCGCATGGCCACAGCAAAGACGAACAAAGAGGGCTCACTTCAAGTACATTTAAAAAGCTAGAGAATAGCTAGTTGGAAGCGAAAACGAAAAGCTTCCAAAAATATCTACATACTCCGCAAATATCGGTCGAACCAATATGAAAAAAAGCGTCAGGGTTCGGTGACTCTCCTTGTTCAAACTGACGTAAGTCTTTGGTGACGTTGACATTTCGGAAGAGTCGAGCAAGTTTACTGAGGGTTTGTTTGAAATTATACTTCTTTTTACAACGGTTGACTGGGTCTAAGTCACACGCCAACTGTGGGAAAATGCAAGATGCGCTGGTCTCACAAATGTATTCACCGAAAGGCGATATCTCGAAGTTACAATATTTTAAACATACGTACACAACGTGTTTTCGGTTTCAAAAACTAAGCATTACACTTAAAAAGTGAAATTCACGGCAGAAATCCGACTTAAAACTCACACTTTACCATTAATCCATGAATTAGAACTTTACTTTGTTTCCTGAAAATTACCCCAGAGAATTGTTCTTCAAAAGACACAATAAACTAAGCCACCCGTAGTCATTTGCACTTAGTTGGCAGTTTTGGGACAGGCAATTGGCGGGAAAAAAAGACCGCGAGAAAATTAAAAACAAAACGAAAACTCGGTAAAAGCGCGCTACTCTGAGACGAAATAATTTTGGCCTCCCATTTTTTTTAAGAGCAATGGATAACTGATTAAATTAATACCAAACTAACAACAAAAGAGAGGTATCTCTCTCACTAGACTGCACTAAAACATGTTAGTTCTGTTGACAGAAAATTGATAAACTACCTACACAAAACAATTTTATCATCGGTGGTTCTCAAAGCTGGTCGGGTACTAATAAAGATCCGAATGAAAGACTTACTTGAGCAGAGACAGTGTATTATTTTCAATTTCGTTTGGTGCCTTCTGTTCTATTTTAACAGGAGCAACGCCAACGAAATTCGCTTCGATTGATTTGGCAGCAACTAAAACTTAATTCGGCCGTAAGAGGGCGGCCTTCCAATATTAGTCGCTAATGCAGCTTGTCACCATATAAAAGACTTTTCACTTTCCCACGATCAATACTAAAAGGGCTCTACTGATGACAGAATTACGGAATGTTGGTTTCTGAAGAGTTATAGAACTTCCTATTCAGATTATCTTAATTGGCACTTTGAAAAAAGCACAGGACCCGTAGATAAAGCCGTTAGGACAGTAGCATAATGCGCGGGAAAATACCGTGAGAAAACCACAAGAGCACGACGTTGATTGGCAGGTTTGCCGCTGTACATGCTTGCGTTGTGTTCCAGGTGTCGCATGTAGCAGGCTTTTGAATCCATCTTTTCTTTATCTTTAGCATTTACGGAAATTTGTCAAATAAATAATCGGTGTCGAAGAATACGGCCACCTGAAAAAAACCTGAAAGAGGTGCTTGTTAATTTTATTGTGCCAAGAAGGGCTTAGGCTTAGGGTAAAACATATTCTATAAAGGCACCTGTCGATAGACGTTCTCGAGCACGTTTTACAAATGCAGGACACTGGTTCGAAGCCCCTTGGACTAACCAATTATCAATCCTCTGAGCCACGGAAAACTAATTCAATTAGCACTCATAGTAGAGCTTACTTTCTTTTCAGCTAAAAACCTGATGTATAATTTTAGTTTGTCTTTTGAGCTTTGCTTGTGAAAATATTGGTCCGTATGTTTTTTAAAAGCAAATCATGTGGGACCACTTTCTACAACTTTCTTCAGTCTTCATTACAAACTTATATCACGTAATCCTTCGACCTTTTGAGAGCGATTTGAATGTGCACCAATATTCCGATTTGTACATTACTTTGTTGCACCGACGCAAAGCTGAACAAACTACTAACACAGTTTTTAAACAACGGACTTAGCGTGGAGGCAGAATAATAAGTTTTTCTTCCACTTGCACCTCTGGAAACGAGGACGACACTCCCAATTCGCAAAAATAAATTCAAACAAATCTAAAGCAAATACTCCTTCAGAGATACTGTTGGTTATTATTCCGAAGCGAGAAATTGCAATCCCTTTCGTCAATAACGCAGGGGTTTAGGGCGCGGCCTACAAAACAGCACAGAAATCCTTTGCAAGGAAGCCCTTTTCCGCTTTCCAAAAACCTTCCACATCCTTAGAAAAGAGTTGCATTCGTTTAACTCCTTCTATTTTATGGGTAAAACTAATTTCAGACTTTCTCCAAAATCTCAACAAACTGCACAGTAAACAAAAGATGAGAAAATCTGAATAAAGCAAAATTTTTTAAATCGTTGCCGAAGAACAAGATATGAACAAATAGGGGCACTTTTGTTTTATACATCTACATTTCCTGATGCCAGCCGCTGGCTGACAAAACTTAAAGGAATCGTCATCTCATAAGAACTACTCAAAAGACAGAATTATAACTTACATTCGAAAGCTAAAACAGGAACGCCATGGACCCTCGAGGTACCTTATCACAACAGTTTTTTTAGGAACCTGCTGAGACACGACGACGCAGTCAAAACCTCATTAAATTATCCTAACTTCATCTGCCAAGAAATGACTCACGCTTTTCCTGAAGATGATTTATTTTCTTACATCAGTGGCATATATATTAAATATTTCGAAAAATGACCAACCAAGTAAAACTCAGTTAATTTATTGAGGTGCAACAGCGTGTTGAAAAGTTGCTTAGAAAATTTATTTTTCCTTTGGTAAAAAGTACATCTAAAACTCCACTGAAGTAATATAAAATTCTCAGCGTCCATTAAAATTCGATTTCAAACCATTTCTAACACGAATACCATATGGTGCTATTTGAATAACTGAATACACTTTGTTTTAGGCGCGGAATCCTGCATGACAAGAAATTGTGAGCAACTGTAATAATTTTCAATTCCTTCGTTAAGTTAGAAAATTAGGTTTGTTATCCTTAATTCTGTCGCAGCAATATAGATACACGTCAATTCTTGGCTAAGCAGCAGCCAGTGCACAACGTGAAAGACGAAGAAGGAAATTCAATACAGTTTGTTAACAGTACATGAAACTATTCAAATCAAGCGAACAGTTGCTGAAACTCGTGCCCGCCAAATAAATGAACATAATATTGTGCATTTGTCATGTGCGTAAAATTCCTGTCCTACAGAAACTTGCGTAGACGGAAATGCTGAGTTCTCTAGAACTGTACCATAGTAAATATGGCTAGTTCAACTTAACCACACAACCACACGAATCACAGAATTGTCTAAACCGATGCGCCTTCGGTAAAACGGTTAAAATCGTCTGCCCACAACAATATAAACACTATTTCTAAATCTTAACTCACCCAACTTCACTACAAACAGTCTGCAACCATCAACAATAGGTGAACATGGAGATATAAGATACACTACATGAACTATGGGGTTTTGAGTTCCGCTGGCGTCCTTTTTCACTGTAATGGCCCGCTCGCTCAGATGACAATAACTTTAGGTGCAAAATTGGCGACTTTTACCTGTTGTGAGCTGATGCAAGGCCTGGCTGTTAGACTTGTTTCTGGTGGTCGCATTCAACACACAAGGATAAAAACAAGCTTTTAAAGCAATGTTGATTTTACCTTCAGTTGGCGAATTTCATTCTACTGAATCTCGCCGCATGAAGTTGACGTTGGCCTTACATAAATATTATCTTTAAGAATTTGAAATAACAAGGATCGGGCCAATCTTTTTAACAAGTTCAATAGCTGTCCACATATCGTCAAAATTTGCATCTATTAAGAAAATTTCCACGCCCATCTTGACCTAAAGGTCACCCATCAAGGTTATTCTCGTCTAGATTTTTAAGTGAAGCAACATTTACGAGTTTGCAATTGGGCCACCGCGCAGAGTAAAACAATTGAATCTTGAGGATTTCATGGCAGTTGACACAACTGCATGCTCTTTGCCTGAGAATAAAACTCTTGAGCGCGCCAATAAAGATAACGACATTGTTTTCACAGTCGAGTGTAAAAACCGTCTGTACATATTTTTTTTTTTTCGACTGGAGGCGCCAAAATCATTTTCGCCCGATAACTTTTCCATATTGTATGTCTAATGTGGGGTCACAAGTTGTCCCTTTAGGAAGGGCGCCAGAGCGCGGTGAAATCACCCGGGAACAATCTTAAATCTGCTGATTAAGTTCTGTTGCCACAGTGACAATATCTTCCTTACTATAATTATATCAAGATGATCCGTACTGCTATGCTTTTTTCAACGAAGGCACCCTTACTGTAGTTACTAATTTGAATCACACATCATCGTTTCTCAGTCCAAACCAGACTCAACGCGGTCACTTATCACGTGACCAGTTCACGTTAAATGTCTGTCAACCTGCTTGGCAACTTCAGTGTTGAAAGACTTCAGACAGAACAAAAATGTCGCGACTGAATGCTCAAAGAAGGAATCGCTTATTAATATTCGATACCTTTTTCATTTGGGTGTTTTGTTTTTTAGCAGACGACCATGATGAAGTGTATATCTCTTTGGGATACGAACCACCAAAACTCTCGTAAAAACTAATTCTAGAGCTCGAGTGCAATCATTCTAAACGCACAACAGTTTCAGTCGATGAAGTTCCTCAACTTTCTTCTCATGGTTGTCATTATGACATTAATTAGATTTATCAATTAGTTTTACCCCGAAGCTTCAAGTACCGAGTTCCACGATGTTATTAAAAAGAGACCAATTTAAACATTCCAAGCCGAAAAAAAAAAAAAAAAGAACAAAATACCACCGTTAAAAATAGCAAACATATCCAGCAGAGGTTAGTGAAATTGCCATAAATGTGTGACTGAATGCATCTCTAACGACAACCGAAAAAAAAAAAGGTATCGTAGTTCTCTAAGCCAGCCGCGGTCCTCCGCGATATTCTGTTACTAAGCTGTACGTACTTTTACTTATGCAACGTTTGAAGTGCACACTCAAGAGCACAAGTATTCCTTCTTCACAAGTTTCAACGAACCCACTAATTGGGGCAATTAATCCAGAGAGATCGGCCTTTTTGCTAGCTCTGGACTGTCTGCAAATAGGATGTACGGATATTATAAGAGTGTTCTCAGTTGTCAGAGGGCTCCTAGGTGCCTGACTTCTTATGGACAGATCTCGGAATGGCCAGAAATATTTTTTTTAATACTTTCCGAGCTTACATAAGACATTCCGGAAATAACAGACGAAATAAAAGACGAATTTTCGCTAGATTTAAATGCTACTTGCTATGGGTCCTTAAGGTTGCCTGACAGCTGGTGAGTGACAATATCCTGGATTTTAGAATTGTGGCAAATGTTACAAAAACAAAGTAACATAGCGGAAAATTCTCGCTTCCTTGAAACCAAAACTGAAACGAGCACACTCTTATTGATAACGAAATAATTCCGACAGGTTCCATGCTTTCTTTAACGATCTGCCATTTGGAAACCACTCTAAGTAATAAATCGCTGTTTGTCCTCTTTCGTACTCGTAAGGGCCGTGTTTCTGCCTATATCGTCGAGTGCAGCGAAGTATTTTATTTTCTAACAGGACATAGATCCCTTCTCTGATCGGAAAGTCGCCAGTGATTCTTCAAGTAACAGATTAGACTGTGACAAGCCCGACCATGAAGTGTAGACTATATTCTGTTGGAGAGCCACCGCACAAATTTGTGACAATTTCGCTTTTTTTCTTCCGCAAATTAATTCACAGCGTTAAAAATAACATCAACTCCAATCTTGATATTGCGGAACGCTCTAAGTTGTTGTACCTTTATGTCTATATAAAGACCGCCAGAAACAAATTACTTGCTAGAAATTCATAGTTTAGAAACGGCTTTGTCTGTGTTATTACAGCTCAAAAACTCTGTTTCGACAAGCCGGTACCTGTTTACACAAACACTGTATCGATAAACCTAGAAAACACTTGAATTAGATAACAAGCTACCGCTGGCTATGGGAAAATCACGCGTAAAAACTTTTAACCTTGAACCAGATCATCTGGTTTTAGTCAAACGACGGCAACCTTAGCGATGGTTAAATAAACATTCAATTTAAAAGACTTGACGCATTTAAAAATTCCCTTCCTTTCCCCTGAGTAAGAATCATTGTGGTGGTTGATATTAGTTTAGAAATCTATAAATAAGGACTACATCACACCACTATTTCGATCAGAGAATGAACTACATTACAATTGACATGACACGGTAGTTAAGAAACAACTTACAATTTCATACAATTACAGCTCCTTTCCAGTCAGGCAAATATTGACACAAGGGCCCACCCGCACGAAATATAAATGTAAATTTCAGACAAATGGAAAATATCTCTGGGGAGGGTTTTTTTAACAAGTCTCTCGCACGAAATTGAAGTTCAAACATGCGATAAAGTTAAGCTTCAAAGACATCAATCGGATTAACAAACGACCATTGCAAGCGATATCACCGTCGTACTAAAATAGAATCGCCAAAATACACATGTGGGACACCGTCTGGTCTTAGCTACGGATGTTGTTCAGCCGACCTCAGTTATGAAAATAAACAAAACTCGTTCTATCTTAACGCACATAATGCTGTAAGGAATTAAAAAAAAAAAATTCCAAAATACATAACACAACACTAAAGATGACTTATGTGGTACTTAGATAAAGATTGAAACAGGTTTTGACTAAATGAACTGTGGTTTGGCATATTCACATCGTTTTTACGTTGCTTAAATTAGGAAATTATTGGTCCAACTTTGCTGTGATCATTCATCAAAACAAACCGAACTAACATACTGCGCGTTTATCATTTTTTCTTCCTTCGCTGGTTTCGGTGTGTGGTCTAAACTGAGCTTGCACTAGTTCGACGCTCTCACTCTAAATAAGCATTTGAGAAAGTGCCACAACACTTCTATGTAAATAAAATTCCTCTTTGATACTTAAAAAAAATCCCCAAAGAACAACATTTACCTAGTGTGTGGTGAAAGACTCTGCAAAACAGCACACACTCCTTACCCTCGGTTCGACGTGACAGCCGCAAGCAATTTATTGTCCTAAGACAAAAGCTAAATTTTTCATCTGACGAAAATCTGTCTCATGTCTGTAGTATGACACAATATATCCGTTAAAAACCAGGATTTTTTTCTTACCAGGACACAAAGCTCTTTAACTCTTTCTGCGAAAGTATTTTGTTCCCACAATGGTTCACAACAGAGGCCAATACGCGTTTCAAATGAAATCGATACGTAATTTCCAAGACCGCGTGGTACAAGTAGATAACACACTTGTGAGTGAACTCGCCTCGACTTGCCCTTCAAACAATTGACAGATTTGTGACAGCCCGTCAACAAACGCGCGAGAGCCAGATGTGTATTGTTTTTATATTTCGACCATTGTTTGTTCCATGATGACTCGTGCTAAAACCATGTTCGCCGTCACGCAGAGGCACAAGAATCCCGATTTAATCCGTCAGTGGCTACAAATGAGCCTTTCGGGGGCACCTTTAATTTTCAAAAACCGACTATTTAAAGTACCGAGTAGATATAAAATGTGCTACACCATATGCAAATTCCACAACACGCGGGCGACGCAGCTGCCGCAAGCGACCTTGTTAACAATAGTACATCTGCCACTCGAGACATCCATTGTTTTTTACGCTCTCTGTGCTTCTCAATCCCAGAGTCCCATTAGCTAGTTAGGGGGCTCCTGGCAATCCCTAATATACCTGAAACTGCAAGTATGAAAAAATTTCCAAGGGAACTGTATCTGCTTTGAGGTTAAAAACAAGAAAAATCTTCTGGTTAGCAATTAGACTGACGCTTCCGCTTTAGCAAACCGTGACATTTAATTGAGGCAACTGTGTGATTGTATTTGTTGTGTGAATAAAGGAGGGTCATGACCCGTGTCAAACATGCGAGAAAAACAATAACACCACGTGGACTCAACCAATCACAGGGGCGCGTGCAAAGTAAGCCACTTAAAAAAGCGCATGTGTTTTGTGAACACAGAATTGGTTTACGTGAATTCAGGCTTTTAAAAGTACGAAATGTTTGAAAAGGCACACGCGGTGATAGCGTTTACTTGACAATTAGTGGCTCCTCGTTCAGAGAAATATCTATAAGTCGACTGTGATATTTATCGAGTCTTTGTACCATGCATATACAAGCCGTGCCTGCATGGATCTGAAAGTATTCGTGGGAACTTACTAATTTTGTTTCATCTTTTTTGCACGTGACGTCGCAACGTTATGCAGAAGGCCCGTGGTTTACACGGGGCAATTAGGGGCAAAAAAATAACCTCGTGAAAATGGTGCCTTGTTTACAGGTTTGGTGGAGAAAAAATAAAACGAATCGAGGACCTGATCTCGAGGACATTGGGAGGAGAATAAGACAGAAATTGTATGAAACTTAAAACTTCAAATAATGTTTCTCTTTCCCCTGCCGTAAGAATTAGTTTCCCAATTCAATAACTAGGTTACAGGCCAGATCTGACTACAAATCTGCATTTCTTTGCTAAGAGAGTTTGCAAGAATCTCAGATGAAAAACTGTAGGAATTCAAGTCTGTTGCGCGCGTGAAAAAAAAAAAAAAAAAAATCAGTGAAAAAAAAAAGATGTTATCAGTTTACCTAAAATCCCCAGAAGTAAAACTGGGGTCTGGGTACGACCGATGTGAGAGAATTCACATTCAGGGAGAGGTGGGTGAATCCAGCAATTTAGGGACCAAGAAGTAATGTACTAGAAATAGATACAATATTTCAGGAATGTTATATATCAAAGATAATCTTTGAAGATAACTGCACAAAGATCAATCAAAATTGTTTTTATGTTACATGCAAGGACAGCTTCGAAAGACAAGCTGCACGCTCTACGCCGCACGCTCCAAGCCGCGGACATGTACAACTCAATTTTTGCATGTGAGTTTGGGTTGTCGCATCAAATTTTCTGAGACATTCGAATGTTTAGATAGCAGACTCAGGGAGTCGAAAATAGAGAGATCTAGAGATGTATAGCGCCGGCGTACTGTGTTAAGGTTCACTGAGCGGTGAAGACAAATTCCGTGGACATCAATCAGTTATGATGATGAAAAACGCTTGACCTTATCAAAACGAAAAGAGGAAAAGACAAGATGGAAACAAATTAAATCCACTTATTATTACTGAGGCTGCAGTAGGCTTAGGCAAATATCATGATCATCCGATCAAAGTCATGAAAGCCTTCAAGCTTATCAAAACGAACCAGCGATCTTTCTCCCTTACTCGCGCTCGTGAAGATTGCGTTTTGTCTGTTTGCTGGTGCAAAAATTTTGATGTGTTGGATAGTAATAATATTCTCATCAAAATGCTTTTGAATTAGACCGAACGTGAAAACAATCAGCCGCTTTCACAAAAAACATATGGCTTCAAAAGCCTTCCGATCCACAGGCAATGGTTACACTTGCTAAGCTTAAGTACACATGCTGAAAGTGAAACTGTAGTAAAAGCGACAGAACCGTGTTTCATTTCAGCCGATGGCTTTACAGTATAGCATGGTTTCCCTTCATACGCTCCGATTTACGAACGACCTTTGGACTTTCAGCACGCCATTCCTCGTGTAAAATCTAGAGATGCCTTGATGGAGATTTTTAGTCCCACTCGGCATTTACCAAATGAATTTGGCTGACAACATCGACGAGTTTCTCACCCATAGTCTTAGAAGAAAACTGCCCTGTGAGCAATCTTATGGTGATCCGGAGCCAACATCCCTCAACGGAAAGATTTAGATCCCCTTGGGAGAAAATAATTCCTGAAGCATTTGTTAACAAATATGACATTAATTATAATCCGATAAACAGTTCTTTTTTTTTTTTAGAGGAGAACTTTGCGGGGTATGAAAATGGACATTTATAAACAGGATGAAACAAATAGCGTCAGGTGATCCATCATTGATAATTTCTGTTTTGACGAAAGGTCCCAGCTGCGTTGGAGTGCAATTTTTTTCAGCGTTAAAAACAATGTAATAAAAACATTTAAAAAGGCGAAAATAGCGAAGGACACATGTTTGGACGGTCGGTGGCATCCAAACATACCCTCTAAATAATGTGATATCGTTTTTAGCTTAACAAGTCACAGATGGAAGGCTTCGGGAACTCTGACCCGATTGAAAGTAAAGCTTGATTTGAAAATTGCTTTGGCTGTACACCAACACAACAAATAATTACCCAGCCAATTGCGTAAACTACTAATTACTTGAAGTAAGTTGTTGCCATGACATGGTGACCATACACACGATGCCGATGAGCCAGCCAGTGACAACTCAAAGGCAGAAAATTCAGAACAAACGAACTCATCATAGGTTGTTTGAATTCACCATGTATACTTTCAAAATTGAGCTGGTAACAGTGCGTCAACTGAACGTATCTTGAGAGGCTTTTTCCTGTTTCCGATGTTTTTATTATCTTAAACTATAGTGGTGAGTCACAAAACCCCGAGAACAAGCAAAGGAAAATATCGTTTCACAGAAACCTAGAGAAGAGGAAGACTCGGGGTCGTAGTGCAATGTTCCTCGCATGTGTGGGTTGAGTTTCGGAAATGGATGCTAAGGGAACTTAACCGATGTATGTTTGAGTTAATCTAACATCCCTTTCTTTTCACCTCGGCCTATGGCTCTATAGTAAGAATTGTAAATTCTGCTCGACTTTCGTGAGCAAAACCAAGTCTACCTGTACACATATCTAGGAAATTTCTTCAGTGAGTTTTCGTAGATACTCACCATACAAACTTCAACGATTTTCCCACGATATCCTTAACTTCGCTAGCACAGGCTTGACTTCCGGATATCTGCGTTCGATTTCAACGATCAGCACCCCGTAGGCATGAAGACGCGTTTGTTCTTCACCTCTACAGCTCTTTTCCTCCTTGTCACTGTTACGTGCTTTGTTTGTGGCCGAGATGCGTGCAGATTCTTGAAATGACTTACCCTATACTCCAGTAAGTTTATAGATCATCACTCGCTACTGTTTATCATGTCACCCTATCTTTGTAATAGGAGCCACGGGGGTTAATTGTTCGATTATTTTTATGAAACTCCTAACAGCTCAATTTGTTTGATCCAGGGAAAATCCATTTTAAAAAATGAAGTTCCTCATTTTAATCTCCTGATATCTTTCTTCAGACATCTTTTGTATCCAGTTTTAAGCACTGAGGGACAGAAACAATGATGAGGCTAAGAATCGTCATTTATGTAACGCCCCCCTTAAGATATTTAAATTTTGACTAGTTGCGGAAACCAAATGGTTATCAAATACCTTTAGCATCGTTTGTAAATATGTGAATGAAAGTATTTTGAAATAACACAAACCAAGATACCAGATTGAAAACTCCTGAATTGTTATTAAAAGTGATTTACATAAATGACCTCTTTCTTTAACTATGGATGGAAAGAGAGGAGTACAAAACACGTATTGACTGAGAAAATCGTGCTATAAATCTAGTGTTGCACTAAGTCTAAGAAAAAAAAACTGTTATTTCATGTCTACAATAGTTTCTTTGATCTCATCTCTAAATGAGTTTCTATAAGCCGCATTCCCGTGTAAAAAAGACGGTTCTGTTGAAATATATATATATTTCTAAGATCATGCCAAATCCATTTACCAAATTAAATGGATTTTCACCTCTGCTTTAAGAGTCAGGGATTAATTAACACACATGATAAATTACTGAAGTGGTAGGTTCTAGAATAACAGATATGTCAGCAGTCTAAATAAGATGTGCATTAGATCTGTCCTATCACACAACCTATCGATTTCAAATAATTCAAAGAGCATCACGCGAGATAAACACACGGGCTTCCTTGTTGGACAGGGACAGGGACTCAGGAAATAAATTGCAGTCTGAGGGTGCAGTTTTCTCGCTGTTGAAAGTAAAGGCAACTTTTCAACTTTTAAAAGTTTTGGGCGGCGTGTTTGTCAGACGTAAAATTTACGACACGATATAATTGGGGTCACTTCATAGTGGGTCGTGATCAACGCCGTCTGCCACAGAGAGATGCATGCCACATAAAAGGTGGAGATGCCGGTGGGCTATCATGGCGCCATCGTTCGATCAACTGTCCTTACACGAAGGAAAGGCATTCCAAAAATTATACCTGGTGGTCTATGAACAAGCTCTAACAAAGAGCTATTGGCGAAAATACCTGCTCAGTGTCTGCTAGAGTCATTCAGAGCCAACTGTTACAAATTGTACCACTGCTGAGCACAGTTGAGCAGAAATCCCAATGCAATGTCAAGTTTGTCTCTTAATTTGTTTGCAGTAGGTCAACTAGCTTAAACACAAAAATAACAATCACAGCTGCCGCGATGACACGATAACCTCACTTTTTAGTTCTCGACAAAATATTTAAAACATTTGCCGAAGCCGATGTTAAAAACTGAGAAGGTCTTTCCGGCTTCCATTCAATCTGATTGGCTCCTTTATGTAATTAGTAATAAGAGCAGATAAGTTTTACTAAAAATATTCTGAAACTAAGATAGAAATAAGTCATCGAGGGAGTAGGAAATAATTTTGTGGAAAAAATACAGACCTAGTGGTTATGAATTGAGTTTTAATTTCCTTGGGTTTCCGTGGAATAAATGAATTTTCTCCTCAAAACAAGGATATACATTGCGAGACCTTTTATAACTTATGGTGGCAATCAGGCATCTAAGATGTTTTCAAATTAAGCC